AGAAAAATTGAGGTAATAGCCCTGTAAGGGACCGTGTAAATGTGCTAACTAAATGCTCAGGTAGGATAATGTGGATGCTACTTCGCAAAACATGTTTCACGCCTTTACCAATTTTCTTGGATTTTTATATAGCAATAAATGTAAAGTGATTCACTAATTATGGGACAACCTAATATATATTGGGGGGATGCTAAACAGCCTAATTGATCGCACTGGTTAAAAAAAGTTTGTTTGGCCGCTGGATTATGTTAGTTCTCGAAAAATGATAGATGTCTTGAATTCTAGCGAATTATGGGAAATGACTGCTTTATCACCACCACTATAGTATCCTTTCGTTAGTAACATCAACCAGAGCCACTGTAAACATGCATTGTGCATAGTACACTTGACTAGGGTCAAATCCTGAAGCCTATTTTAAAATGCGTGCTATAGCTAGCTAAGCACAACTGGTTATTCAAATCAAATCTCCCCAAGCATCCACTACGTTCTACGCTTTTCCACGGTTTTAGGAAATTCTATCAACTTAAAGTGTTCAACAACCACCCCGGATTTTATACAACCTTCCACGTATTCCTATGTTTAGCATTTTCCAACAAACATAATTTCATGATCCTACCTGCGTTGCCCACTGATCAGCAAATTGCTTTACATTGAAACGTAAAATCGGGGTCGATCTCGCCAATGCTTCCCAAAGATCACTCGATCGAGCATTACCGTAGGAGAACTTCTTTAAGTAATGCTGAAAATTACAACAGTAGAAAACTTCAGATCATAATCGAGAGTCCTCGTCACTGAAAATTCCGAGCCATTTGTCAAATACTGGATTGTCAAAATGAGTTTGAAACACATTTCACGATTTTTGAGGTGCGGCCATCGTTCTTGAAAATGACAGTGGAGGTGCCATGAGAATTCTAGTTAAAAAAGGGGTGGAAGTTCAGTCAATTCAAACGAGGCCATTCAGTAATCATTTACTGAACGTTGGACTCCTGAGCGCGGGAAGATTTTAATGTGGGCTCGTAGGGAAAGGATGGTATTCAGCCTTTATCCTTCTATTCTCCTTCGATTGCTTGAGGATAAGTTTCCTAACTGTTCTCAACCTGCTTCGTGGCTGATTCATGCCTATACTTCTTCTAAAACATTTCAGTAGTGGACATCTAACAGATGTGGCCAACGGGCCGAAAAAAGTTAATTTAAGTTAAGCTACTTAATAGTTAGTCTCTCTAATTGTATTCGTCTGATCTACCCTC